AAAATAAAATAACAGTAGGGAGGCTATATATACAGGGGGGTACCGGTGCAGAGTCAATGTGCGGGGGCACCGGCTAGTTGAGGTAGTTGAGGTAATATGTACATGTGGGTAGAGTTAAAGTGACTATGCATAAATAATTAACAGAGTAGCAGCAGCGTAAAAAGGATGGGGTGGGGGGGCAGTGCAAATAGTCCGGGTAGCCATGATTAGCTGTTCAGGAGTCTTATGGCTTGGGGGTAGAAGCTGTTGAGAAGCCTTTTGGACCTAGACTTGGCACTCCGGTACCGCTTGCCGTGCGGTAGCAGAGAGAACAGTCTATGACTAGGGTGGCAGGAGTCTTTGACAATTTTGAGGGCCTTCATCTGACACCGCCTGGTATAGAGGTCCTGGATGGCAGGAAGCTTATTAGGCAGTTCATCAATGCCAAACGCTTTCCCATTTTTGCAGCGTCAATCACCTTCTTAACGTCTGTCACAGACAGCTCCTCATTAAGTAGAGGTTACACATATATAAGAGGGTTCTAACAGTGTATTTTCCTGTTTAGTTCTCAGGGAACATCTGTCTTTATAAAATTATTCCTCAAAATATGACACATTTTCGCTACCTGAGAACAAACTAGCAAACCCCTTCTCCCACTCCTTAAGTACCTGTGTAATGTCAGAGATCAGCCCCCCCCTGCTCTTCCTTCTCCCACTCCTTAAGTACCTGTGTAATGTCAGAGATCAGCCCCCCCCTTCTCTTCCCTGATTTCCATTGGAATTTTCTTAATGTCGTTTTGGTCCTAACTTGTTTATTTGGCTCCAAAACTGTTGAGGATTTCTTGTCTGTATCTCCTCGAGGTGTAATAACTGCCCTCTCTGATATCTCTGTTTGAATAGGCGCAGTCTCTTATCAAACAACAAGGGGCGGCAGGTAGCTTAGTGGTTAAGTGCCAGTAACCGAAAGGTCGCTGGTTCTAATCCCCAAGCCGACTAGGTGAAAAATCTGTTGATGTGCCCTTGAGCAAGGCACTTAACCCTAATTGCTCCTGTAAGTCGCTCTGGATAAGAGCGTCTGCTAAATGACGTAAATGTAAATGTAAACACATCATGTTTTTTCTTAAATTCCTTCCTGAAATGTTCTCTTGTGTTCCCATCTTTACACTGTAAAAAACAATTACCCAGCCTTGTACATTACAGACCATAGATCCCGTAACTCCTCATTCCAATAAGGCTCGTTCGGCTTGTAAACTTTCCTGGACTTGGGGATGTATTCTTTATTCACATAATCTTTTCCCATTTCAGAATATATAATATCACAACATGTTTCATACCACATATCTAAATCAAATGTTGTTTCTTGGCATCTTTGCAGAGTTTCGATGAGTTCCACCAGAGCTCTGCATGCCATTTCAGAACATAGAAAGGCCTTTGGCACATTTATTTTCTTACATTAGGGTATGTATGTTTTGCCCCGAGTGATGCACAGTAATCAAATCAAATAAAATTATATTTGTCACATGCGCCGAATACAACAGGTGTAGACCTTACCGTGAAATGCTGACTTACAAGCCCTTAACCAACAATTCAGTTTTAAGAAATTGGGTTAAGAAAATATTTACTAAATAAACTAAAGTAAAAAAAATAAAAAAAATAAAAGGCTTTATACAGGGGGTACCGAGTCAATGTGCGGGTACAGGTTAGTCCAGTCCCTCCTGCAGTAAAGCACCCCCACAGCATGATGCTGCCACCCCCGTGCTTCATGATGCTACCCCCTTTTTCCTCCAAACATAACAATGGTCATTATGGCCAAACAGTTCTATTTTTGTTTCATCAGACCAGATGACATTTCTCCAAAAAGTACAATCTTTGTCCCCATGTGCAGTTGCAAACCGTAGTCTGGCTTTTTTTATGGCGGTTTTGGAGCAGTGGCTTCTTCCTTGCTGAGCGGCCTTTCAGGTTATGTCGATATAGGACTCGTTTTACTGTGGAAATAGATACTTTTGTACCTGTTTCCTCCAGCATCTTCACAAGGTCCTTTGCTGTTGTTCTGGGATTGATTTGCACTTTTCACACCAAAGTACGTTCATCTCTAGGAGACAGAACGCGTCTCCTTCCTGAGCGGTATGACGGCTGCGTGGTCACATGGTGTTTACACTTGCGTACTATTGTTTGTACAGATGAACGTGGTACCTTCAGGCGTTTGGAAATTGCTCCCAAGGATGAACCAGACTTGTAGAGGTCTAAAAAAATAATTCTGAGGTCTTGGCTGATTTGCTTTGATTTTCCCATGATGCCAAGCAAAGAGGCACTGAGTTTGAAGGTAGGCCTTGAAATACATCCACAGGTACACCTCCAATTGACTGAAATGATGTCAATTAGCCTATCAGAAGCTTCTAAAGCCATTACATCATTTTCTGGAATTTTCCAAGCTGTTTAAAGGCAAAGTCAACTTACTGTATGTAAAATTCTGACCCACTGGAATTGTGATATATTGAATTATAAGTGAAATGATCTGTCTGTAAACAATTGTTGGAAAAATGACTTATGTCATGCACAAAGTAGATGTCCTAACCGACTTGCCAATACTATAGTTTGTTAACAAGAAATGTGTGGATTGGTTGAAAAACGAGTTTTAATGACTCCAACCTAAGTGTATGTAAACTTCCGACTTCAACTGTGGGTATACTTGACTTAACAGATGAGTATAGAAAGAGGATGCATCTCTACCCAATGTAGACTGTTCAGGTGGCAAATAGCAGGAAAACACAACAAAACAATAATCCGACTCCCTATGTTCAAAGCGCAAACCAATAATTCCTTCTATGGCTTCATCAATCATTTGAATGTTATATGTTTTCATCATATCAGACTTTACCCATATCCCCACTCCGCCAGAGTCCCTGGGGGCTTTCACATGAGTGTTTTCTGTTGTGTCCATACCATTCATACCCTTCAATATCAATAGTTTCTTGCCGACACAAATGCGTTTCATTTATTGAGATAATGTCTGGGTTTAATGATTTTAGCATTGTTATTCGTAATTTATTGTTCAAGGTAGTCCACCTCAGTGGACTGGAAGCCCCTCAGTATGTAGTAGGTCTGTCCACCCAATGTCCTTATCCACGTTGTCCCTCTGGTTGATCTCGTTTCATGACCCGTCCTTTTATGCCGCAATGCATTGTTTAAAGAATTTAGGGTAAGCAAATTGGCTTTTCCTAGTGGTCATGTGTAGAGTTGTAGTGCCATGTTTTGGGGATTTAAAAGATATCTATCTATTATTTTGAATGCTAGAACAAAAGTGAACCAAAGTATTTAATAATATAATGTTTGTCCTTCAGTTTTAGGTGTAACAAAGATCACTCATTACAAGGACCTTGAGCATTCCCTCCAGTGGCAAACTGTTATCGGGGGAGGGGTCTATATTAAAGAGAATTCTTAGCTAATCACACCCTTTTAGTATGTCATACATTTGATAATTGTGGTCCTCTGCAGCTCAATTGGTAGAGCATGGCGCTTGTAACGCCCAGGGTAGTGTGGGTTCGATCCCCGGGACCACCCAAATGCTACATGGCATTATTATTATTATAATTGGCTGTCTAAATCCAAAGGGTCACTTGGTGTTAGTCTATTTAAATGTAGGGGAAATAACCTTGCAAGTAAAATGATTGCTCACAAAGGCATCATGCCCATCGGGGATTTGTCCTGTTAAATATACAGTTGATATAAAACAAGCTAGCTACTCTAACTTGATTGGCTTCTTGGTAGCTAGTTATGAGGATGGGAGATTGGGTACCTATCTGGGCTAGCTAAAGCTAACTTCATAAAATTGCTAAGTGTAGTATTACAGAGAAAAAACAAACAAAAGAAAATTTTTAATTTAAGTATATATATATATATATATATCAGGCTATCAATCACTTTAGAGTAGCTAGCTATCTCAGCTGGCATATCTGTTGGCTAGGTTGGTAGACTAAAAAAGCAAGCAATAACTAAATGTACTGAATAAGACTCACATTTCTTTCAATCTTTTACCCAGATTTGAGCAGAGATGCAGAGAAGCATATTTAGTTTCTTTAAACAAAGAACCACCTGGCAGGAGGATACAGCCAGCTCTAGATAAGCAGAAAAATAGACATATACTGTATTTTACATAGAATTAAGCTTATGACTCTAAATTTTGGTGTTTGAAAAATGCTAAATTTTCCAATTTAGGAACGGGGGGCCTAACCCCCCTCCGGACCAATACCCATCCATCTTCATGTACTTTGTGCCCCCTCAGATTTTTGGGCTGCTGATCATATCACTTTAATAAATACTTTTTAAAGGGATAAATTCCTTAGATTTGAGCATCTGTAGCCTCCATTTAACAAAATCCTCAAAAAACGAAAATGTCTAATTGCTGTTACCACTCCTACTAGTGGCACAATGTTATCATAATGGTCAATATTTTTTAAAGTCATTAAGCTGGCATATTAGTTGATTTAGACCAGGACGATGTACCCATGTGGCTCAGTTGGTCACCAAGGTTGTGGGTTCATTTCCCACGGGGTTCAATATGAAAAAGTCAAAATACAGTCATTTTTTACCTAAATGCCATTTTAATTTGTTCAGCCATCTCTATGGGAAAAATGAATTGGGAAAGAATAGGGTTTTGGAATAGACGCCGAAAATAAGGTCTGAGGTTAACACAGGCTTAGGAGATCTTATACGCTTTGGTCTATGAGATAATATCAGTCAGTTAACATGACCTTCATGAATTATAAAGCCTTTATGTGATTTATGCTTTTTTATTATTACATAAATGCTTCGAAATGCACAAAAAGTTACGTTAGCTGATGAAGATTATCTCATATAACAAAACGTATAAGATCTCCTAAGCCTGTGTTTACCACATAACACATTTTCGGCGTTTATCCGAAAACCCTACAAAAACGCTATTCATTTTCTCCATAGGCTATGTTCAACGAACCATGGCGGAGTTAGTGACCAACAGAGTCTCCCGCCTACCAGACTGCTGTAGCTTCCTGCCTGGCTGTCTGCTTCCTGCCTGACTGGCTGCTTCCCGCCATATAAAACCCCCACCTCTTCCTTTCTCCTCCAGTTCTGCCTTCTCCTCTGAATCCTCGACGTCAGCCTGTGAAGGAAAAGAAAACCAGACAAAATGGTGAGTGCTGACGCAGATTATAAAATCATTTATGTATTTATTTCACGTGCTATTCAAACGAAAATGACAGGATTAGATTAGATTAGGCTGAAAAACATGTGGACGATGGATTCTGTTATATAAAGACCATGTCTGAAATCTGTTTTGCCTACTAATTAAAAAACGTCACTAATCGTTGTAAATAGTATTTAAAACGTACTGTTTAGTAAAACCTAATGCAGTAAGAAACACATCAACATACTAAACTCACCCATCCTGAGAATGTCATCTAATGCGCAGTTGCGTTGATTCCCGCCCTTAACTATCACGTTATCAGCAGATTGTCTGCATTGCCTCTTCTTCATGTCGATTTTAGTGTGCTATGTATACAACAGATTAAGGGTAAATGTGATTTAGAATAATTTAGGTAAAATTATTTTATTTTTATTTTTGTGACAGAATCTACAGCCGTACATCCAATGTGGGTCAGATATCAGTGTTCAACTCTCTGAGTCATTGTTCTACTTGTTGATAGACTATCCACTGTTTAAATAAAACACATCTTAGATACAGGACAAAAACATGAATTGCAGATTTTTGTTATTATATTAGAAAAAATGTACTTTATTTTTTATGAGATTTCGGCTCTTCAAAGAGGAGGATGGCATGAAGCTTAAAACGAGGAGAAGCAGTTTGGGATTGTAGCCATTTTCTGTGTGAGAGAAATCTATCGCTGTTTTACACTGCAGTTGGTGCGCAGCTTGGACCAGAGGGAGGGAGGAGAAGAGACAGAAGAGCGAAAAGGAGGGAGGGAAAAAAAACAGGAGAGAGGAGGAGGGTTGGCTCACAGGAACAAGGCACACCTTTTCCTCTCTGGTCCTCTGCTCTTAAAGATACAGGGTCATAAAAAAACGATCTCTTGTCAAATGGCAGAGGATTTGCGAGATGATTTACCCAAGTGTCATAAACCCAAGATGGTGGCCAAGCAGAATAGCCTAGCCAATGGCCGCGTTCGAGAGCATCAAAACAACTGCAGGCGACTGCCTGATCTACAAGTTACCTTTCGTCATAAATAATGACTAATTATTATTTGTAGATCAGTCAGTCTTAATTTACCCATGATACATTGCATTTTTTTTAATCCTCTTGAACACGGCCAATGACATTTGTTGAAATGTCCCTTTGCTAAATGGGTGGCCAGCTTGTAGTCCTAAAAAAACGTCAATGAGATACCTCAGGTTTGTTCAGCCATCCATCCCCAAGGAGAAAGTAAATGGGGGAAGAATAGGGTTTTGGAATAGACACCAAAAATAAGGTCTGAGGTTAACACAGGTTTAGGAGATCTGATACGTTCGGTTCTGAGGTAAGTCAGTTAACACAACCTTTATGAATTATGAAGCCTTTATGTGCTTTTTTAAAATTATTATTACCAACTGTAAATGCTTCAAAATTCACAAAGTTAATTTAGCTGATGAAGATTATCTCATATAACAAAACGTATAAGATCTTCCTAAGCCTGTGTTTACCACAAAAACTTATTTTCGGTGTTTATCCAAAAACCCTAAACATTTGCAAAGGCATTATTTGATTCAAGTTTCCATGTCGTTGATCTCTTGTACCTTCTCTTTTTCAGCGTGAGTGTATTTCTATGCATGTGGGCCAAGCCGGAGTCCAGATGGGCAACGCCTGTTGGGAGCTGTACTGCCTGGAGCATGGGATCCAGCCGGACGGACAGATGCCCAGCGACAAGACCCGTGGAGGTGGAGACGACTCCTTCAACACCTTCTTCAGTGAGACCGGAGCCGGAAAGCATGTCCCACGTGCCATCTTCGTTGATCTGGAGCCCACTGTCATCGGTAAGATGAGACTCCTCTGAAATCTTTGAATGAGTTGATTTGATATTCTGTCACAAGATATTCCAAATATTAGGATATTCTCAATCTACCTTTGTCTTTCAGATGAGGTGAGGACCGGTATCTATCGTCAGCTGTTCCATCCCGAGCAGCTCATTACGGGTAAGGAAGATGCTGCCAACAACTACGCCCGCGGTCACTACACCATCGGCAAGGAGATCATTGACATCGTGCTAGACAGGACACGCAAACTGGTGAGTCAACTAGGGTTCTACAGGGAACCTTTTTCATTCAACAAGATTGTTCTATGTTTTTTTTTGTGGGTCAAAAGGTTTGACCAGGAACATAAAGGGTTATTTTACAGGGACAAGTCGAAGAACCCTTTTATGGTTCTAGGTAGAAAATGCAAACAGGTTCTCCATTTTATTCTTACTAGCGTAACATCATATTTAATAATGTTATTGTACCATTTCTCCATTCAGGCTGATCAGTGCACTGGGCTCCAGGGATTCCTCATCTTCCACAGCTTTGGAGGAGGCACTGGCTCAGGTTTCACCTCCCTGCTGATGGAACGTCTGTCTGTCGACTACGGAAAGAAGTCTAAGCTTGAGTTCGCCGTTTACCCAGCTCCCCAGGTGTCCACAGCAGTGGTGGAGCCATACAACTCCATCCTGACCACCCACACCACCCTGGAGCACTCTGACTGTGCCTTCATGGTGGACAATGAGGCCATCTATGACATCTGCCGCAGGAACCTCGACATTGAGCGTCCCTCATACACCAACCTCAACAGGCTCATTGGCCAGATCGTCTCCTCCATCACTGCCTCCCTGCGATTCGATGGAGCCCTGAATGTTGATCTGACAGAGTTCCAGACCAACTTGGTGCCCTACCCCCGTATCCACTTCCCTCTGGCCACCTATGCCCCAGTCATCTCCGCTGAGAAGGCCTATCACGAGCAGCTGTCAGTTGCTGACATCACCAACGCCTGCTTCGAGCCAGCCAATCAGATGGTGAAGTGTGACCCTCGTCACGGCAAATACATGGCCTGCTGTCTCCTGTACCGTGGTGACGTTGTTCCCAAAGATGTCAACTCTGCCATCGCTGCCATCAAGACCAAGAGGAGTATCCAGTTTGTGGACTGGTGTCCCACTGGCTTCAAGGTGGGGATCAACTACCAGCCCCCTACGGTGGTTCCTGGAGGAGACTTGGCCAAGGTCCAGAGGGCTGTGTGCATGCTGAGCAACACCACAGCCATTGCTGAGGCCTGGGCCCGTCTGGACCACAAGTTTGACCTGATGTACGCCAAGCGGGCCTTTGTGCACTGGTACGTTGGTGAGGGCATGGAGGAGGGAGAGTTCTCTGAGGCCAGAGAAGACATGGCAGCCCTGGAGAAGGATTATGAAGAGGTGGGCACTGACAGCGTGGGAGAAGAGGATGAGGAGGGAGAGGAATATTAAAGGGTTAAACAAACTAGGTGTTAGCCACCCTACATTCCAACCCTGACTGTTGGAGGCCTACACTTAACACGACAGCAACACATTCCCCACTGCGGTGTTAACAGTCTCTGCTACATCTAGTCATGTTCTGTCTGTATTCTCAATAAACGCCACGTCTCTTGTCTAGACGAAAAATAGAATGTCAAATGAGTTTGTTTTTTTGATATCTGTTGGACTTCTCGCAAAGGCCCCCTCCTACGGCCGTCGATTTTTATTAAGCTGCGCAAATACTGTTGTAGCCTACTGAAGTGGCACAGGTAAAAATCACTGCATTTGTAGCCTAGGAGTGACTCATTCAACTATCAATATTTTTTTTGGGGGTGGGGGAATCTTGATTTTTGGTAGTGATTCAACCCAACATATATTTCTGCTGAACTTGTACATGAATGCTGATTACAACTTGATTGAGATGGATCTCCCTTGGGTGGGAGCCTCTCCAGCAGAAAACTTGGTTTGAAATACTCCTATTATTTGCCTATACTCACTGACGTGACTGGGCTATTTTCTCCAACCATTTCCACCTAGCAAACATCACATACGCAGCACCGTGACATGTTGTTGCTATTCTCGGCTGTAACAGTAGGTGGCACAGTAACTCGTGGTGCGGAATGTGGAAAACTTAAGGACCGGCACCATTAGAGATCTCTACTTGGAAATAATCTGAATTTTGTTCCCTTGTCATATAATTGCTACATTTATTATCAATACAGCATTAAAAATAGTTTACCAGATTGCATTTTGGTGAATTTAAATATTGGGTCGCCCCTGAGGGAAAACTAGTTGAGAACCACTGGTTTTACTAACATCCATCTGTATTTAAAAAACAACATTTTTAGTAATTTAGCAGACGCTCTTATCCAGAGCGACTTACAGTTAGTGAGTGCATACATTTTTCATACTAATAATATACTAATACTAATAATAGGCCTTTAATCCGTTACATTCACTGAAAACATTTACTCTAAATTTGATCGCTAAGATCTTTTATGTTAAATGGCGCGACTCTGCGAATGGTGGTCCTTAAGAGCTTATAAGTCTTTTGATTTCTATTAAACGGTTACATTCTAATATGGGCAATTGACAAAAGGTTTCCAAGAGTGGAATAAAATACACTAAATGTGTTCAATTTAATTTCTATACAAGATTCCCATGTTTAGTCCTGTGGAAAAAGGCATGAGGGGCAACCATTTATAATTTGCTATATTTATTATTTTCTGTAAATGTCTCACAAACTACATTTTCATACTATAATTTAGAGACTCTTTCAGATGCATACACATCGGGAAAAAAAATGAATATCTTGCAAGCAGCCGTATTGTGGTTCTCACTTGGTGCCTATCCTGGACCGTAGATCTATTAAATGAACCGCAGGACAACGTTGTTTCTTCTGCTTACAAGGACTTGGTACAGGTTGCAATAAAGAATGGCTCCTCCTGGAGACATTTTCTCCAAGACCCGGAACACAGGAGACTTGAAGCCCCACCCCATAGCACCACAATATATACATTTCCCCTCTGGTGTAGCTCCTTAATCTGTGATCAGAGATAGGGGGGGGGGGGGGGGGAGAGATGGAACACTCATTACCTGTGATCAGAGATAGGGGAGGAGATAGATGGAACACTCATTACCTGTGATCAGAGAGAGGGGAGGAGATAGATGGAACACTCATTACCCGTGATCAGAGATAGGGGAGGACAGAGATGGAACACTCATTACCTGTGATCAGAGATAGGGGGGGGGGGGGATAGATGGAACACTCATTACCCGTGATCAGAGATAGGGGAGGACAGAGATGGAACACTCATTACCTGTGATCAGAGATAGGGGGGGGGGGGGAGATAGTTGGAACACTCATTACCTGTGATCAGAGATGGGGAGGACAGAGATGGAACACTCATTACCTGTGATCAGAGATAGTGGGGGGGAGATGGAACACTCATTACCTGTGATCAGAGATGGGGGGGGGGGGGGGGGCGATGGAACATTCATTACCAGTGATCAGAGATAGGGGGGGGAGATAGATGGAACATTCATTACCTGTGATCAGAGAGGGGGGGGATGGAACACTCATTACCTGTGATCAGAGATAGGGGGGGGAGATAGATGGAACATTCATTACCTGTGATCAGAGATAGGGGAGGAGATAGATGGAACACTCATTACCTGTGATCAGAGGGGGGGGGGGGGATGGAACACTCATTACCTGTGATCAGAGATGGGGGGGGGGGGAGATGGAACACTCATTACCTGTGATCAGAGATAGGGGAGGAGATAGATGGAACACTCATTACCTGTGATCAGAGATAGGGGAGGAGAGAGATGGAACACTCATTACCTGCGATCAGAGATAGGGGGGGAGATAGATGGAACAAGGGGGAAAAAACGTACAAAAATAATTGAGTCCTGTATAAATGAGATCGTAGTAAGTTTTGCTGTAACTGGAATAATTTGGGAACGCATAATAAAAGTTGCACCATGTTATCTGAAATGGTATGACACCAGGTTTAAAGGGACAATCTGGGATTCAAACAACAACAAAATCTAATCTAATTTTATTTGTCACATGCGTCGAATACAACGGGTGTAGACTTTACCGTGAAATCAATCAATCAAATGTATTTATAAAGCCCTTTTTACATCAGCAGATGTCACAAAGTGCTATACGGAAAACCCAGCCTAAAACCCCAAACAGCAAGTAATGCAGATGTAGAAGCACGAGTCATGCTTGCTTACGAACCCTTCCCAACGATGCAGAGTTAAACAATAATAATAATAATAATACGAACACAATGGAGTACAGGCAATATGGCATTTTATTGAATAGTTTGGGGTAGATCTCGTCTCAGAGGAATGCTCCTCAGAGCCACATGCTGATGACAGGTTATGCCATGGATCATTTAGCGATTTGATTTTGAATTTTAGGCCCCCTTTAGTTATAAAAAAAACAATTAAAAAAAAGATTTGATAAAATATTGAATTTGGCCTTTAATACTAAAACCCATAGAGACGCATTGAATAAAACATTCACAAATAGCAAAGAAAGACAGTCAGAAAATTAATCATAAGTAATAAGGTTTTGAAGTGTCTGTCCTGTATCTAGGAGATATAAAAAAGATCAGGAAATATTAAAAGTTTTTTTGGACACATATCTAACCCCTTATTTTTGTTGGCACAAAACTACCTCCATACTTCTATTCGTTTGTATGGGTTACCCTTCAGACGAGTCCTGTCGTTGTAGAGAAAAACGGCGAACACCATCGTGTTCGTGAGAGTTTGCCCTTTCCATAGACCCGGTCGTAGTTTGTAGGCCAAGTTGTACCGGACGCTACAGATGTTTTCATGAGAAGACTGATTTTTGAGATTGTCTCATGGTCTGACGAACACCGCCGTAGCTCGGCCACATTTCACCGCAGATGCTAGGCTGGATTGTGACGCAGCCCATCCAAAAAGACTGATTTTGATGGGGATTCTTTAAATGTTACTTTAAATGTTACGGATTTAATAGGTGATTGACATTCCGCACACTTGCTAATCGTAAAGAGGAGAAGAGACGTGACACTATCCTGATGAGGTAATGTTATTAACACTACCATAAAAATACCTGTTATGCTGATGAGGTAATGTTATTAACACTACCATAAAAATACCTGTTATGCTGATGAGGTAATGTTATTAACACTACCATAAAAATACCTGTTATGCTGATGAGGTAATGTTATTAACACTACCATAAAAATACCTGTTATGCTGATGAGGTACCATTATAACCACTACTATATAAATACCTGCTATGCTGATGAGGTACCATTATAACCACTACTATATAAATACCTGCTATGCTGATGAGGTAACATTATAACCACTACTATATAAATACCTGCTATGCTGATGAGGTACCATTATAACCACTACTGTATAAATACCTGTTATGCTGATGAGGTAACATTATAACCATCACTATATAAATACCTGCTATGCTGATGAGGTAACATTATAACCACTACCATACAAATACCTGCTATGCTGAGGAGGTAACATATAACCACACTATATAAATACCTGTTATGCTGATGAGGTAACATTATAACCACCACTATATAAATACCTGCTATGCTGATGAGGTAACATTATAACCACTACTATATAAATACCTGCTATGCTGATGAGGTACCATTATAACCACTACCATAAAAATACCTGCTATGCTGATGAGGTAACATTATAACCACCACTATATAAATACCTGCTATGCTGATGAGGTAACATTATAACCACTACTATATAAATACCTGCTATGCTGATGAGGTACCATTATAACCACTACTATAAAAATACCTGCTATGCTGATGAGGTACATTATAACCACCACTATATAATACCTGCTATGCTGATGAGGTAACATTATCAACCACCACTATATAAATACCTGTTATGCTGATGAGGTACATTATACCACTACTATATAATACCTGCTATGCTGATGAGGTAACATTATAACCACCACTATATAAATACCCTGTTATCTGATGGGTAACATTATAACCACTACTATATAAATACCTGCTTGTCTGATGAGGTAACATTATAACCACCACTTATAAATACCTGCTATGCTGATGAGGTTAACATTAACCAACCACTATATAAGATACCTGCTATGCTGATGAGGTAACCATTATAAACCACTACTATATAAATACTGCTTTTGCTGATGAGGTACCATTATAACCACTACTATATAAATACTTCTGTTATGCTGATGAGGTACAACCTTATAACCAACCACTATCATAAATACCTGCTCTGCTGATGGAGGTAATCATTATAACCACTACTATATAAATACCTGCTATGTCTGATGAGGTCAACATTATAAACCACCACTATATAATACCCTGACTATGCTGATGAGGGTACCAGTATCACCACTACGATTATAAATACCTGTTATGCTGATGAGGTACCATTATAACCACTAATATATAAATAGACCTGCTATGCTGATGAGGTTAACATGATTATAACCACTACGACTATAAATACCTGCTATGCTTGATGAAGGTACCATTATAACCACTACCTTAAAAATATCCTGCGTATGCTGCATGAGGTAAACATTATAACCACCACTATATAAATACCTGCTATGCTAATGAGGTAACAGTTATAACCACCACTATATAAAATACCTGTTTATGCTGATGAGGTAACATTATAACCACTACTCTATACCTAACCTGTTATGCTTGATGGGGTAACATATATCAATACCTGTTATGCTGATGATGGTACCATTTATAACCACTAC